TTTGTTTTAATAAAGCAAAAGAGTAATTCTGAAAATTTATAAGCAATTAGAGTATAACATAAAAATATAGCTTTATTCTGCCATCCAATAATATGTAATCATCCACAATTTCCTCAACTCTAAAAACATAATGCCTACTGGGACCAGCATTGTGGTGCCATGGATTAAGCTGCCAGGGATTAAGCCACCAGTTATGATGCTGGAATACCATATTGGAACACCAGTTAGAGTCTGCAAAGCCTCCTCATGTGTGTTCTGCCACTAATCCAAATGAAATAGAATAAAAGGAAAATTAATTTTTAAAATTACGTTTATAGCCGGCGCCGCGGCTCACTAGGCTAATCCTCCGCCTAGCGGCGCCGGCACACCAGGTTCTAGTCCCGGTCGGGGCGCCGGATTCTGTCCCGGTTGCCCCTCTTCCAGGCCAGCCCTCTGCTGTGGCCAGGGAGTGCAGTGGAGGATGGCCCAGGTGCTTGGGCGCTGCACCCCATGGGAGACCAGGAAAAGCACCTGGCTCCTGGCTCCTGCCATCGGATCAGCGCGGTGCGCCGGCCGCAGCGCGCCGGCCGCGGCGGCCATTGGAGGGTGAACCAACGGCAAAGGAAGACCTTTCTCCCTGTCTCTCTCTCTCACTGTCCACTCTGCCTGTCAAAAAAAAAAAAAAAAAAAATTACGTTTATAACTTTTTGTTCCATGATCCAAATTCCCTACTCAGCAATAACGTAGTATCATTTATTCTCCCTATACCAGTCTCACTTTTTTTTTTTTTTTGACAGGCAGAGTGGACAGTGAGAGAGAGAGACAGAGAGAAAGGTTTTCCTTTGCCGTTGGTTCACCCTCCAATGGCCACCGCAGCTGGCGTGCTGTGGCCGGTGTACCACGCTGATCCGATGGCAGGAGCCAGGTGCTTCTCCTGGTCTCCCATGGGGTGCAGGGCCCAAGCACTTGGGCCATCCTCCACTGCACTCCCTGGTCACAGCAGAGAGCTGGCCTGGAAGAGGGGCAACCGGGACAGAATGCGGCGCCCCGACAGGGACTAGAACCCGGTGTGCTGGTACTGCAAGGTGGAGGATTAACCTAGTGAGCCGCAGCGCCGGCCAAATCTCACTTTTATATCCTAGTTTATATACTAATCCTTGAAATAATATCTTGAAACTTTACAACTGATTTTTTCCCATTCTGTTATTTTTTTAATCTAGTGAAACTGAAGTTTTAAAAATTTTTATTAGTATAAAGAGAACAGATTTCTTGGATTACAGAGGTACAGTTCCAAGAAGACAACCTCACTTCCCTTACTCCCCTGTTCCATCCACCCAACCTGCTCCCTCACTCCTCTCTCTTCATCAGTTTTTACAAAGACATGACTTTATTCCACTCTATATTCACGGGCTTAATTCAACACTAATCATAATATTCAACAAGTAAAAAGTAGGAAGACCACAGTTCCACAATATAAACTAGGGCTAAGAATGACAATCATATCCTAAAATGTCTATTTAATTTCTTTATCTTTTTTGTATTCTGTGTTAACTATCACATATCAAAGAAAACATATGATATTTGCTTTTTTGAGACTGACTTATTTCACTAAGTATAATGGTTTCCAGTTGCATCCATTTTGTTGCAAAAGACAAGATTTAATCCTTTTTATTGCTTAGTAGTATTCCATAGTGTATATATACCATAATTTCTTTGTCTAGTCATCATTTGATGGACATCTGGGTTGATTCCATATGTTAGCTATCGTGAATCAAACTGCTATAAATATGGGGGTACAAATAACACTTTCATATTCTGATTTTGTTTTGTTTGGGTAAATTCCCAAGAGTGGGATCTATTTTCAGATTTCTGATGAATCTCCATACTTTCTTTTACAATGGTTGTACTAGTTTGCATTCCCACCAACAGTGGATTAGAGTACCTTTTCCCCCACATCCTCACCAGCATTTGTTGTTTACTGATTTCTGTATGAAAGCCATTCTAACTGGAGTGGGGTGAAACCACATTGTGGTTTTGATTTGCATTTCCCTGACAGCTAGTGATACTGAGTATTTTTTCATGTATCTGTTGGCCACTTAAATTTCCTCTTTGGGAAAATACCTGTCCAAGTCATTTGCCCATTTTTTAATTGGGTTGTTTGTTTTGTTGCTGTTGAGTTTCTTGAGCTCTTTATAGATTATGGATATTAGCCTCTTATCACTTGCATAGTTTGCAAATATTTTCTCCTACTCTGTCCGTTACCTCTTCACTTTGCTGAGTGTTTCTTTTGCAGTGAAGAAGCTTCTCACCTTGATGTAACCCCATTTACCAATTTTGGTTTTGATTGCCTGTGCTTCTGGGATCTTGTCCAAGGACTGTTTTCCTGTGGCAATGTCTTAAAGGGTTTCCCCAATGTCCTCTAATAACTTGATAGTATCGGGTTGTAGATTTAGTTTTTTGATCCATTTTAAGTGGATTTTTCGGTAAGACATAATGTAGGGGTCTTACTTCATATTTCTGCATACGGAAATCCAGTTTTCCCAGCATCATTTGTTGAAGAGACTGTCCTTGTTCCAGGGATTGATTTTATCTCCTTTGTCAAAGTTGGTTGTAGATGGATGGAGTTTCTATATTGTTCTATTTGTCTACCCATGTTCTTTTGTTTTTTTGTTTGTTTGTTTGTTTTTGTTTTGTTTTGTTTTTACCAATACCAGGCTGTTTTGATTACAACTTCCCTGTAGTATATCTTGAAATCTGGAATTGTGATGCCTCCAGCTTTGTTTTTGTTGGATAAGATTGCTTTAGCTATTCAGGGTCTCCTCTGTTGCCATATGAATTTCTTTTTTTCTAGATCAGAGAATATCCTTGGTATATTGATTTGGATCACATTGAATCTGTACATTGCTTTAGTTGTATGGACATTTAGATGATATTGGTTCTTCCAATCCATGAACATGGAAGACTTTTCTATTTTTTATGTCTTCTTCTTTTTTTAATGTTTTGTAATTTTCATCATAGATATCTTTGATTAATGGCTCTGGCTAAACTTCCAGGACGATATTGAATAGTAATGATGAGAGTGGGCATTCTTGTCTGGTTCTAGATCTTAGTGGGAATTCTTCTAACTTTTCCCCATTCAGTATGATTCTGGCCATGGGTTTGTTAAATTGCCTTGATTGTGTTGAGGAATGTTCCTACCAAATGCTGAACCATCCCTGTATATCAGGGATAAATCCCACTTGATTCGAGTGAATGATCATTCTGATGTATTATTGGATTTAATTGGCTAGAATTTTGCTGAGGATTTTTGCATCCATGTCATCAGGGAAATTGGTCTACAGATCCTTTTCTCTGTTGTTTTGTTTTCTGCTTTAGGAATTAACGTTATGCTGGCTTCATAAAGGAATTTGGGAGGTTATATTATTTTCTGTATTTTTTAAAGATTTGTTCACTTATTTGAGAGTCAAAGCCACAGAAAGAGGAGAGATCTTCCATCCACCAGTTCATTCTCCAAATGACTATACGTGTTGGGGCTGTATAGGGCTAAAGTCAAGATCCAGCTACTTCTCAGGTCTCCCAGATGGGTGGCAAGGGCCCAGCTTCTTGGGCCATCTTCCACTGCTTTCCCAGGTGCATTAGCAAGGAACTAGACCAGAACTGGAACAGCCAGGACTTGATCTGGTGTTCATATGGATGCCAGCATTGCAGACGTCAGCTTAACCCTTTTTGTCCTAAGGTTGGCCCCTATTTTCTGTATTTTTTTACATTAAAAAATAAGAATCATTCATCCAAAAAAACCACCCTACACTTTAACTGCTCCAGTCTCCTAAATCCTTTCATGACCTCCAGAATTACAGAAGCTTCTCAAATAACTCCTTGTTTCTCTTAGAAAGCAGCCAGCTCTGGGGGATCTGTGTTGCGGCACAACAGGTTAAGCCATCGCTTGTGATGCAGGCATCCCCTATTGGAACACTAGTTTGAGTTCCAGCTGCTTGATCTCTGACCCAGTTCTCTGCTAATGTGCCTGGGAAAGCACCAGAAGATGTTTTCAGGTATTTGGGTCTGTGTCATCCATGTGGGAGACATGGATGGAGTTCTGGGTTCCTTGCTTTGGCCCAGAGGCTCTTGCAGCCATATAGGGAATGAACTAGCAGAAAGAAGATCTTTCTCTGTATTTTCCTCTCTGTTGCTCTGCCTTTCAAATAAATAAATATTTTTTAAAAAGGCATCAATCTATGGAACTTCAAAGCTGTCTTAAGTCAAGATTGTCAACAAAACAAGTTGGGTCCAGCACTGTGGCAGAACGGGTAAAGCTGCCACCTGCAGTTCTGGCATCCCATATGGGTGCCGGTTCAAGTCCCAGCTACTCCACTTCTGATCCAGCTCTCTGCTATGGCCTGGGAAAGCAGTAGAAGATGGCCCAAGTCCTTGGGCCCCTGCACCCACGTGGGAGACCTGGAAGAAGCTCCTGGCTCCTGGCTTTGGGTAGGTGCAGTTCCAGCTGTTGCAGCCAATTGGGGAGTGAACCAACAGATGGAAGATCTCTCTCTCTCTCTCCTTTAAGTAAATATATATATATATATGTATATATATATATATATATATATATATATATATATAACAAAACAAGTAACCAGGCAGTGCTAAGATTGTGATCTTCATCCCAATATTACCTTCCAAGTTACCACATGTCTAGGAACAGTCCATGGACAGCTGAAGAATTGAAACACACTTATTTCATTATAGGCATAAAATATTTATGCAAAACCACAGAAAAGAGAAGAGCAATGGTTACTTTTGATACACTGGATCTTGAATTCTAACACCTAGATTTCAAGCTCATTTTAGCAGGGCTAAGTCTTCTATTTCTTATAAGTATTCCCATTGTCTGTTCTTTCCTACCCCTCCCAGCCCCTTTCACCTTTCTACTCTCACAATATATGGAATACTCAGCATGTATGGTAAAGTCCCTTTAAATAACACTTGAGTCAGGGGTAAATGTCACAATGGGTATAATGTGACATCACCAGGATTTGGAGGCAGTGGTTAGAAACCAGTTAGTATCAGTGTAAGCCACAATCTCTGGGAGCATAAAAGCCCATTTCTTAGCTTCCTATTAGGTATCTTTATTAGTATTTGCCTAGATTATCTGGAAAAGTAGAAATAAGAGAAAATCACCCCAGTTCTCAATATTTTTTATCAAAATGAAAAATGAAAAAGATAGTGAATCTGAATTAGAAAAAAAGGTTGAAAATTCCCCCATCATGAGAAGAAACCCCCAAAATGAATCAGATCCTCCAACGATCACTACGATTGAAATCCCACATGCAGTACAAGAAATCCTCGCTAGGATTGAGCAAGCACAGCTCCTTCGAGCCAGAGAGGTAGGTACATCACCAGAAGTTTAAGTAAAACTTGTTAAATTTAATTGTATTTCTTTGAGTCCGAGAGACAAAAAAAGAGGATCAGAATGACAGAGATTTCCTGTCTGCTAGTTCACTCCCCCAAATGCTTACAACAGCAAGAGCTGGACCAGGCTAAAGCCAGGAGCCAGAAACCCAATCTGGGTATTACATGTGAGTAACAGGAAACCAACTACCTGACCCATCACTTGCTGCCTCCCAGAGTGAACTACAGCAGGAAGCTGGAATTGGGAGGGGGCCAGGACTCAAACCCCAGCACTACAATATGGTATTCCAGTGACCTGACAGTCTTAACCTCCAGGCCAAATGCCCACCCCACACCTTTTTTTAACTTTCCATGACTGGGTACATCTTTTTGGAGATCACTTTATTTTCAAGATATTTCACTGTGTTTGATGTAACTGACTTGAAATGATAATGTCACTTGACTCTGATTCTGTGGTTAACAAGGCTACAATTGGATATTAATCTCTTATCAGAATTAACCATTTGAGAGATATATGCTGTGGGGTCAAAGATGTGAGGCAGAAGTTTAAGATGCCGCTTGCGATGCCAGAATCCCATATGGCAACTGCTCTGCTTCCCATTCAACTACTTAATAGACCTGAGAAAGCAATGGATTATGGCCCAAGTACTTGGGCCCTGCCATACATGTGGGAGACCAATTGGAATTTCTTACTCCTGGCTTTGGTCTAACCTAGATGTGGCATTGTGACAACTTGGGGAGTGAATCAGCAGATGGAACATATCTATCTATTTTCCTATCTATCTACCTTTCAAATAAATAAATATTTTTTAAATGTCTGAGTAAAAACTTTTTCTGACTTGTGTGAATTAGGACCACCATTATAAACTTGAATTAAAAGAATAGGAACACATCCTTGTTTGTTCTTGATTTTAGGAGAAATCACTTGGTTTTCTGCCATTAGATAATCATGACAGTAGTTGTACATTTTTTTAATGGTGCTTTTCAACTGCTTGGGGAATTTCTCTTCTTGTCCTAGTTAGCTAAGACTTTTATCTGAAATATATAATGGGTTTTATTAAAGGCTTTTACTACATTTCAGCAATAATTATGCAATTGTGCTCTTTTCTTGTTGAATCTGTTAATATAGTGAGTTACACTGATTTGGGGATGTTTAACAAACTGTGGAGTGGGAGTTGAGGAAGGATCAGCCCATTCAAAGGCAGATATTGGAATTCTGGGTGCAATGATATGCAGAAAAATGCATCTTTTAGGGGCAGGACTGTGAACCAGGGGGTTCCTTCTGGTATCTGAGCTAAGATAGTATAGGGATTTGGCACAATAGGGTGAAGTAGAACAACTGCCTCATTAATGGCCCTGAAATATTGAACCAGCCTGTATTCCCATATTTGGTTTCAAACAGGCAGAATGGTGCTATTACAAGGAGACTGACATGCAGCCAGGGCTCCATGATTGAGAAATTTATAAATTAAGGGTTGGAGACCCCTTCCCCCTTAACTTCTGGCTTTAATGGATACTGGCATCATTAAGGGAATGTTGTCTCTAAGGTGATAATTATGAGCACAGCATGTGTGGCTCATCCAGGTATCCCCTAATTACAAACTTCAGGGTCTACTCTATCTTTGATTTCAGCAGGAAGATCATCCAAGAGGGGACTTGTCTCAGTACTCATTAGTATCACTAAAAGACTTAGAGTTGGTGGCAATTAACCTGAGAGAAGTATCCAGGAATGATAGCAAATCCTTGTCAAGTAGCAGTTGGCCACTCAGGCACCACCAAAAACTGGTGAGAGAAAAGAACATCTTACAGCAGTGAACCAAATAGGAAAAGTAAATATCTGAGACTGAGGCCTGGCCATCAGCTCCTGTGATGACACAGCTCTGAGGACAATGGTTCCAAGTGGGAATTCAGTAGTAAGTGGCTCCCTCTTTAGTAGGAAATCAACACTCTGATGAGAGACACAGAAAGTCACCTTGGGCTCTAGGCATGAGATGTTCATACAGGTTGTGGGTGCCACATGAGTTCTGGGGCCCTATCAGTCTGCAGACAAGGACACAAAGGGACTTAGGAGACCTCCCTCCCTTTGGAGCTGAAGACAATCTTGTTTTCAACAACCTTCTCTTTAACATTGAGGGAGATGGCTGGGTAGACTTTTCAGGTAGACATTCCTTGAACCAATGTTTCAGCTTCCCACACCTAAAGCATTTTCTCTTAGCTTGTCCTCCATAATAGAAGGCCCTCTGGGTTGACTATGAGATTGCCAGGCACTGGTTATAGGAACTGCTATTCCATGAGCCTGCAGTCTGGGTTGCCTCGCACTTTGGAGTGTCCTTTCCACTTAATCTCTTTCTCTGTTATTAAACACCTGCAACATCAAACATATAGTTCGTGGGCGTCTGAGCTCCCATGTCCAGTTTCTGAAGCTTCCCAATCACTAAGTAGGCACCCTTAGGGGTGAGTCCACAGGGATGGGTCTAGAATCACCCAGAGCTGAAAGTCTCTTCTTAACCTAGGAAGAGAAGAACAAAGTATGGCTCTGCCTGGGCCCCATTATGCTCAAGTGTTCAGCTTGAACATTGGCATTAGTTGTGATCTGGCATCCCAATATCTCCTCTTGCCCCACAACTTGAGGGCTTCCCAAAGATCCACATCCCAGCCCTTTCCAGGACTCCCTGCAAGTTTGATCCAAACCTGAGTTCTCCTCCCAGATTTCAGATGCACTGCCCAGTGTGCCAATCAATTGGAGAGACTTTATCTCTGCACCCAGGAATCTTGGTCTCTAGGTTGTACCTCATCAGCACTTGACCTAGGGCTCCTTGTCCTAGGGGGTTCTAAACTGCATCCAGGAATCCTTAGACTCTGGAACTTCACCATGTATGTGTTCCAGCTCAAACCCTAGGGCAATAACCTAGCTGAAGCTAAAACCCATATCTGAGGTCCAACTCAAACTGCAAAGATAACCCCACAAGCAGGGATGATGAGCTTGGTCATAAGAGATACCAAGCCCCAGCTAACTACTAGCAATCCCACCCATAAGCCAGAACTTGGAACCAGGTGCCCAGACCTGCCTACCGGTTTGCAGCTGTTGCACCTATTCCCAGGCAGAGCACCCCACATTGACTGCCCATAGAGCCAACTTTCCACAGGGCCAGCAGCATTGTTCTATGTGTCTGAGGGGCAGGTGCAGTGACTGCAGATTCCACCAGAACTAAAATCAAGGACTTGATCCTGCCTCCATGAGCAATTGAATCTGGAAGTCTTTTTTAAACTTCTGATACTTGGAAACTACCCCTATAGCCTTAGAGGCCAGAGCCAAGAACTAAATCCATCATCTCTGGGTGCCTGTTCTTGCAACTGTTGCCTTTCCCCGCCTCTCCTGGCTCCCAGGCACTGTTCCTCCCTCCCTGGGAGGCAAGCAGGGAACAGCAACAAAGGAAAAGAAGGAGTTGGAGGTTCAGTACATGGGGGCTCAGCCGTGGCAGCTCTGCTCCAAAAGCAAGAGCAGGGATTCCCTTGGGGACCCTGGCAGAAGATGGCATCTCTTGCAGCATGAGCTAGCTCCAGGAGCATGATGAGGCCTGCTGACTGTCACCCATGTGCCCTGGGCAGATGGCTACATCACACCCATGTGCTTCCCTCATTTGTTAGGAGGATCTAGGAACTAGCCAAATTCCTGTATTTCCTGCTACTTGCACATGGGCTATTTCTCCTGGGACTTATGTGTTTCATGGGGCTTCCAGTCTAGTAATAGCTGGCTTCCAGCTGCTAAGACTGAACAAATAAGTCCCCCAGTTTAAGATTTCAAGCACATGCCCAGGTGATATGAGCCTAAGACAAAATAGCCCCTTTTAAATGTTTGGATTTGTTTGAGTAGTATTGCCATCTTAACACTCTGTGACATCTTAAAATTCATGAATAATGGGATGTCTTTCCATTTACTTGTTTCTCCTTTAATTTCTCTTGTTAATATTCTGTAGTAAATACTAAAAGTACATAAATCATCCATCTCCTTGCTTAAGTTTATTAACTTAAGAATAAATATTCATATTTTATTCTATATTAAAAGAATTTTTAAAATTTCCTTTTCAGATTGATTGGTTTTAATGCACAGCAAAGTACTGGTTTTTGTGGGTGGATGTTGAATCCTACAAACTGTTAAATTCATTAGTTTTAGCAGTTCATGTGCATGTAGGTATGTTATTTTCAGGAGTATTTTATATATAAGATGATGTCACCTGTGAAAAGATAATTTTACCCCTTCCCAATTTTGATGCCTTCTATTTCTTTTTATTGCCCAAATTCTTTTCTTAAGATTTATGTATTTATTTGAAAGTCAGAGTTACACAGGGAGAGGAGAGGCAGAGAGAGAGAGAGAGAGAGAGAGAGAGAGAGAGAATCTCTGGTTCACTCCCCAATTGGCTCAATGGCCAGAGCTACACCGATCCGAAGCCAGGAGCCAGGAGCTAGGAGCTTCGTCCAGGTCTCCCACATGGGTTCAGGGGCCCAAGGTCTTGGGCCATCTTCTAGTGCTTTTCCAGGTCACAGCAAAGAGCTGGATTGGAAATGAAGCAGCTAGGACTCAAACTGGTACCCATGTGGGATGTGGGCACTGCAGGCAGCGGCTTGATCCGCTACACCACAGCCCCAGCTCCTTATTGCCTGACTTCCATGTTCAGGACTTCAAAGTGATTTAAAGTAATAGTTTTCAGTATTTCACCTAAAGTATAACATTACTGTGGGCTTTTCATATTAAGGAACTTCCTTTCTCTTATTAGTTTTTTTTTTTCTGTTTGTGAGTTTTTTATTTTTACCACAAGAGAAGGTTGAATTTTGTCAAATGCTTTTTCTGCATTATTTGAGGTCATGCATGCTTTTTTCAGTCATTCTGCTAATTTTGTGTATTACATAGATTGACTTACAAATGTTGAATTATCTTTGCATTCCAAGAATAAGTTCAGGAAACATAATCCTCTTA